TCCCTTGAAATGGATTTGGGCTGAGGCTGTTGCCCAGCTGAGGGATCTGGGCCTCTGCCCTATTCCCTAGTGGGAATGAAATCCTTAAATCCCCCAAAGTGGATCTGGGCTGAACCTGGATCTGGTGATCTCTGCCCTATTTCCTAGTGGGAATGAAATTAATTAAATCTTTAAATCCCTTGAAGTGGGTTTGGGCTGAGCCTGTTGCCCAGCTGAGGGATCTGCCCTGTTTCCTAGTGGGAATGAAATATTTAAAATCCCTTGAAATGGATTTGGGCTGAGGCTGTTGCCCAGCTGAGGGATCTGGTGGCCTCTCCCCTGTTTCCTAATGGGAATTAAATATTTTAAATCCCTTGATGTGGAATTTGGGCTGAGCCCATTGCCCATCTGAGGGATCTGGTGGCCTCTTCCCTGTCCCCTCATATCTTGGAGTCTTCTGGAGCCATTTTAAGGCTCTGCTCCATCTCCCCTGAGCCTGTTGTGATCCCTGGAGCCCCCACACACCTCCCAACCCCACAGCTGGTTTTTGGGGAAGGGAATGGCTGTCCCTGCCTGCCCTGCTGCCCTTCCTGACCCCCCTTTCTCCCTGCTGCAGCCGAGGTGACCTGTGCCCCCAACCAGTTCCAGTGTGCCATCACCAAGCGCTGCATCCCGCGGGTCTGGGTGTGTGACCGTGACAACGACTGCGTGGACGGCTCTGATGAACCTGCTAACTGCAGTAAGGCACCTGTGTGGGGAGGGGGCTCTGCCTGGTGTGAGATGCCCACACTGGGCACCTCTGTGTGCTGGAGGAGTGGCAAGTCCCTGCTCCAGTCCCTTCTTGATCCCTGCTCAGTCCCTGTTCTGTCTCTGCTCAGTTCCTGCTCAGTTCTACCCCAGTTTGTGCTCAGTCCCTGCTCAGTCCCTGCTTGGTCCCTGCTCAGTTCTTGCTCAGTTCCTGCTCAGTTCTACCCCAATTTGTGCTCAGTTCTACCCCAGTTTGTGCTCAGTCCCTGCTCAGTCCCTGCTCAGTCCCTGCTCGGTCCCTGCTCAGTTCTTGCTCAGTTCCTGCTCAGTTCTACCCCAGTCCCTCCTTGGTCCCTGATCAGTTCCTGCTCAGTTCTACCTTGATCTCTGCTCAGTCCCTGCTCAGTTCTACCCCACTCCCTTCTCAGTCCCTCCTTAGTCCCTGCTCAGTCCTTGCTCAGTCCCTGCTCAGGGCTTGCTCAGTTCTACCCCAGCTCCCTGCTGCGTTCTTGCTCAGTCCCTTCTCAGTCCCTGCTCAATTCCTGCTCATTTCTACCCCAATCCCTGCTTAGTTCCTGTTCGGTTCCTGCTCGGTTCTACCCCAGTTCCCTCCTCAGTCCCTGCTGAGTTCTACCTTAGTCCCTCCTCAATCCCTGCTCAATTCCTGCTCAATTCTACCCCAGTCCCTCTTCAGTCCCTGCTCAGTCCCTGCTCAGTCTCTGCTCAGTTCTACCCCAGTCCCTACTTAGTCCCTGTTCAGTATCTGCTCAATTCCTGGTCAGTTCTACCTCAGTCCCTGCTCAGTTTTACCCCAGTTCCTCCTGTGTCCCTCCTCTGTCCCTGCTCAGTCCCTGTGGGCCATGGCTGATGCTGTTGCTGTGTCTGTCCCGCTGGGTTCCTCCTCCCCTGACATCTCCCTGGAGAACTCCTTGAAAAGGAGGAGAATCCCCCCCATCTCCAGGCTGTCCACCATCCCTGCAGAGAGCAGCACAGGCCTGAGCAGCGCTGACCCTGCCCCGTGTCCCTTTGTCCCCTGCAGCCCAGATGACCTGTGGTGTGGATGAATTCCGCTGCAAGGACTCGGGCAGGTGCATCCCTGCACGCTGGAAATGTGACGGGGAGGACGACTGTGGGGATGGATCTGATGAGCCCAAGGAGGAATGCGGTGAGTGGAGGCCTTGGGGACAAGCCAGTGGCATTTGTGTCCCTTTTCCTGAGGGACAGGCTGGCCTGGAGCTGGCTGGCTCCTCTGGGGTGGCCCAGGAGCTCCAGCTGCTCCTTTTTGGAGTGGTGTGGGCAGGGTTGGGTCAGAGGGAGGTGCAGGGGTAGTGCTGACCCCTGTCCTGGTCCCTGTCCCTGTCCTGTCCCTCCCCATGTTCATGGCACTGCTGACACCTGTCCCTGTCCCTGTCCCATCCATCCCCTCCTTGGGGCAGTGCTGACCCCTGTCCCATCCCTTCCATCGTGTGGAGCACTGCTGATTTCTGTCCCTCCCCATGTTCAGGGCACTGCTGACTCCTGTTCCTGTCTCATCCTCCTGTCACATGGCAGTGCTGACCTCTGTCCTTGTCCCATTTCTGCCCTCATTTGGAGCAGTGCTGATCCCATCCCTGTCCCACTGTGCGGGGCAGTGCTGACCCCTGTCCCTGTGCCACCCATGTCCCTGTGCCATCCATGCCCTCCTTTGGGGCAGCACTGACCCCTGTCCATGCCCTCCATACCCCCCTCTGGGGCAGCCCTGCCTGTCCCTGTCCTTGCTGTCCCCCTAGCAGCCCTGACCTGTCCCTGTCCCCCCAGACAAGTGCACCTGTGAGCCGTATCAGTTCTCTGACCTATTCCCTGTCCCTGTCCCTGTCCCTGTCCCTGTCCCTGTCCCTGTCCCTGTCCCTGTCCCTGTCCCTGACCTTCCCTGACCTGTCCCTGACGTGTCCCTGTCCCCATTGTCCCCAGATGATCGCACGTGCGAGCTGTACCAGTTCTCTGACGTGTCCCTGACCTGTCCCTGTCCCTGCTGTCCCCCCAGCAGCTCTGTCCCTGACCTGTCCCTGTCCCTGTTCCTGACCTGTCCCTATCCCTGTCCCTGACCTGTCCCCGTTGTCCCCAGATGAGCACATGTGTGAGCCATACCAGTTCTCTGACGTGTCCCTGACCTGTCCCTGTCCCTCTCCGTGACCCTGTCCCTGACGTGTCCATCCCCACTGTCCCCAGATGAGCGCACGTGCGAGCCATACCAGTTCTCTTACCTGTCCCTGTCCCTGATGTGTCCCTGACCTGTCCCTGTCCCTATCCGTGACCCTGTCCCTATCCGTGACCCTGTCCCTGACCTGTCCCCATTGTCCCCACTGTCCCCAGACGAGCGCACGTGCGAGCCGTACCAGTTCCGCTGCAAGAACAACCGCTGCGTGCCGGGCCGCTGGCAGTGCGACTACGACAACGACTGCGGGGACAACTCTGACGAGGAGAGCTGCAGTACGTGCCACCCCTCGGTCCCTGCTGTCCCCAGGGTGGGGCACTGCTCAGGGGACAGGTTTGGGCCACCCCAGCCAGGACAGGGCTGTCCCTGTGCCATCCATGCCCTCCTTTGGGGCAGTGCTGACCCTGTCCCTGACCCTGTCCCTGTCCCTGCCCTGTCCCTGTCCCTGTCCCTGTCCCATCCATGCCTTCCTTTGGAGCACCACTGACCCTGTCCCTGTGCCAATGAGACACCCCAAAGGTGACAAGTGACACCCAACACCCTCCCTGCAGGAGCATGGGTGGCCCAGCAGAGTCACCTGAGGGCACCTTGTCCTGCTTTGCCACCAAGCATCACCCCCTGTGTCACCCCCTGCCTGGCAGTGCCACCTGGGATGGCGGTGGGGACACACAGAGGGTCCCAAGCTGCCCATGGGATGGCACCAGGGTTTGCTGCCCACTCCACAGCACCCAAAGAGGTTCCAGGCTGCCCATGGGATGGCACCAGGGTTTGCTGCCCACCCCACAGCACCCAAAGGGGTTCCAGGCTGCCCATGGGATGGCACCAGGGTCTCTGCTTGATCCTGTCCCACCCCACGGCACCCAAAGGGGTTTCAGGCTGCCCAGGGTCTGCTGCCAGCCCCTCTCCCACCCCACAGTGCCCACTGGGTCCCTCTGATCTTCCTGCAGCTCTTCAGGGTGCAGCTTTTGTTTTTTCTTTTCTGTTGATTTCCCGTCGTGTTTTTTGAGTTTTGTGCCATTTCACCTCATCTTATGTTTTTCTCCATTTCCACACTGTCGTTATGGGGCGCTCAGAGGTAGGTTCCTGCCGAAATCTTTTAATTCCATGTTACAGTCTCTCTCTAAAACCCAATGAAGACAATAATTTCTAGGTGGGACTGGACAATCCAGGTGGATTTATTGAGCATCAGCACAAGCATCTCCATCCATGGAACTGGGGAGGGTCTGACCCTGCTGCTCTGCAGGGCTCTGCATGGCTTGGATTTGGCTCCAAACCCCATCCCCACCTCTCCCTGCTCCTTCTGGACACCCCCTGTTCCCCACAGTTCTGTGCCATGAATGGGGGGTCCCCTGTGCCCCAATACCCCTATGGGGGCTGTAAGGAGGGGAAGGGTCCCAAAAGCCATCCCAGGTGGGCGGCTGTGCCAGGTGCCATCCTGCTGGATGTGGCACAGGCTGTGCCAGTGAGCTGTGCCCATGCCCTGTGAGGGGGCACAGGGGTGAGGCTGGGCACTGCCAGGGCACTGCTGCAGTTCCTCCTGCAGCTGGGGTGGGCAGCAGTGGGGCTGGTGCTGCCCTGTGGAGAGCAGTGACCTCAGTGACCACAGTGTCCCCCAAAACCCCCACAGGGATGGTGTGGGAAGGGTTTGGGAGTTGATACCAGCTGTGCTCCTCTGGTAGCTCTGCCTGTATCCCCTGTCCCCAATGCTACCGGCCATGTGTCCATGTCACCCTGTGCCCCCTCAGCTGCTGACCAGGGACACCCCCTGCCCTCACAGGCTGTCCTCACACTCTGTGCTCTGTCCCCAGCACTCTGACAGCCAGGCTGTGTGGTCACAGTGTCCCCCAAAACCTCCACAGGGAGTGGTGGGAGTTGGTACC